AGGGCCGTTCTGTAGCGATTCACTCTCTACAAGTGTCTTCGTTTCTTTTTCTCCTTAGGTTTTTCCGAGATTAAAACTTTGCATGACGCTTAAACTTCGTGTGCGTGCATCCTCCCAGGTCCTCCCGGGAGGACCCTGCAACTGACCCGGAGAGGCAGCAGGACTCTCCGCGGGTCCCCGGGACCAGCTGCCACCGGAGCTGGGTGGGAATCAGTGTTCCCAGGACCACCTAGGGAGTGCACCTGCTCTAGGGTGGGACAAGAGCTGGCCCTGGCGGGGACAGAAGCCGCTGGAGCTGTCTGCTCTGGAGTCCTTCGGGTGAGGCCGAGTCGTAGGAGGAGGCTTTCTGTGTGGCTCCGAGACTTCTCCCCACGTGGCTGCTTGGCGTGAAGACAGAGAAGTGATGGTGTGAGAGTGTGGCGCTTGGGCGTGGGCAGACCTCAGGAGTCCTCTCGGCGTAGGCATCAAGATCTTCAATGAACAAACGCTTGACTTCTTCATTTTAAAGTGGGGAAAACCATCTGCACCTCAGGAGGTATTGAGAATCACTTAGTAGGTGCTCGATATATGGTAGTCCCCCCAACAGGGGCAAACTAGAGAAAAAGTGTTGGGATTCTTGGACTCTGACTGCTCTCACAGCCGTGGGAGGCCCGAAGTGAAGTCAGGTTTGGGCCCTTGAAACTGTCTAGCGGAGGTTGGAGAGTGCCTGGGTGAGGGTCTCCACAGTTGGCTCACTGGGATAGCTCTCCGCATATGCCCCCCAGGGCACAGAATGTTTCTCCTCTCCCCTGCACATTCACACTGGTCGGACACCATCCTGACCCTGCTCCTCAGCCAGAGCTGAGCACATGGGCTGCCTGCCTGCACCTGACCCAAGAATACCTTCACAGGGTCTAGAAGTGGAGTGCTGATCATCTCCCTGGCTCTTCTCTGCAACCCAGGAGAGGCCAACTCCAGAGCCACTGGTGGTGGCCATTCTCCCACCTTTATTTTTTATTTTCAATTCTCAAAACCTTGGAATGGTATTTAAAAAAATAGTACAATGGACACTCACTCTTCATCTAAATTAACTAGCTGTTGACACTTTATCCACATTGCTTTATCTATCTCTATGTACACACCAAACGTTGGTGTTAAGCTATTGGTGAGTTTGTTATAGACCTCACAGCACTTTACAGACTGCAGCGGGGCCTCCTAAGAGCAAGAGTGTTCTATGTAACCCCAGAAAAACCATCCCATGCTGCACACTCTGCAGGCAGTGGGACCCTGATACAATGCTGTCACCTCAGGTTTAGTCCATCTTCTAAGACTCAGCAAAGTGTCCTTTATAACCAGCTTTGCTTGAACCCTGGAGCTGGATCCAGGATGGTCTGTCCAGTCTGGTCTGGATCACTTTCCAGCCTTCCTTTGTCTTTCATGACATGGATGTTTGGCAGAATGTCCCTCCGTTTGAGTTCTTTGCTGACTACACTTAGGTTATGCTATTTATTTACTTATATTTGGCAGGAGGGCTAACTACCTTGGGTCAGTTGTCTTGCTCTTTGTGGGGTTGAGTTTATTAAGTTGGTTAAGATATGTTTTAGATTTCAGCATTTACTGTTCCCTAAGAATCTTTGGCCCAATGTTTTTAGTATCTTTTATTCTTACCTAAATTAGTATTGCTATAACAGGCACCAAAAGGTGATTTTAGGGTATGGTGGCACACACCTGTAATCCCAGTGTCTTGGAAGGCTGAGGCAGGAGGATCACAAGTTCAAAGCCAGCCTCAGCAACTCAGCAAGGCCCTAACCAACTCAGTGAGACCCTGTCTCTAAATAAAATGCAAAAAAGTGGGGCTGGGGTTGTGGCTCAGTGGTAGAGCGCTCGCCTGGTATGCATAAGGTACTAGGTTTGATCCTCAGCAAAAATATAAAATACATTGTGTCCACCTAAAACTAAAAAAAAGCAAAAAAGCAAAAAAAGGGTTAGAATGTGACTCTGTGTTTGAGCACCCTGAGTTCAATCCCCAGTACCATAAAAAGGAAAAAGTGATTTTGTTGTTATTTATTCTATAACTTCTTATCTTCAATAGAAGAGTTCCTCCTCGGTACCTGAAATTTTAAAAATTATGAGCTTTATCATCATCACCATCATTATTATTAGTGTCATTGAATGTAGTTCGTGGGCACTACCATGGGAAGTGGCTTCTCAGGTGTAGCCAGGGATCGCCTCTTCTTTTTCTTTTTTTTTTTTAATTTTTATTTTTTCAAAGAGAGAGTGAGAGAGGAGAGAGAGAGAGAGAGAGAGAGAGAGAATTTTTTAATATTTATTTTTTAGTTCTCGGCAGACACAACATCTCTGTTGGTTTGTGGTGCTGAGGATCGAACCCGGGCCGCACGCATGCCAGGCGAGCGCGCTACCGCTTGAGCCATATCCCCAGCCCTCTTCTTTTTCTTTTGTTCCTGGGGCTTGGACCTTGGGTCTCATGCATGATGCCAGGCAAGTGCCTCGCCACTGAGCTACACCCTAGCCCTTTCTATATTTTATTTTGAGACAGGGTCTAAGTTGCCCAGGCTGGCCTCAAACTTGTGATCCTCCTGCCTCGGCCTCTGGAGTAGGTGGGATTACAGGTGTGCGCCATCTTGCCTGGTGGGTATGGGTTTTATTGTCCTTCATTTTCCATATTTGTTGTCCCAAATATGTCCCGTGGGATCCCCTTCAGATTGGTTCTTCTGTCCCTTTTGTGTTCCTCATCGAGTTTGAACACTGCCTTATTTCCTAACACAGGAAGGTGCTCCTGGCTTACTTGGATGGTGGTGGTTTTGTTTTATATCATGTGAAAGCGGAGATGCTGGGTCTGCCAGAGAGCAGAATGAGGCCGAGGTGCTCAGAGAAGCAATGATCAGAAGGGAAGGAAGAATCCTTCCGGGCTTCACAATGGCTCTTTGGCTCCTGCTTCCTGTCCCTTCCAGATCCCTGCCGCTGCCCAGTCCTTGGCTCTGAGACACCCACACATCTCTCTGTTGACAATGCCCCTTTTGCTCTTGCTATACCTGGGGCCATGAGGCCTCCCAGCCCAGCCAGCCTCCGGAACAAAGCAAGACACTGGGTCAGAACCTGGTCCCAGTTCCCTTGGTTCTGGTGGGTGGCTCAGGGGTGGGGAAGGTCAAGTGCAGATGTCCTCTTGAAAAGAAGGCGGGTGGGGCAGGGATCAGCGGGAGTGCGGCTGGTCATGAGCATCTCCAGGGCCACACAGACTGGCCGCAGAGTGCAGACACATGCTCTACGTGCAGAGGCCACCGAGCATCCTGTGGTTCAGAGGGGTCCCGGCCCTGTGGTGGTGGGCTACGAGAAGACTGCTGCAGGAGGCTCTGGATCCAAGAGAATGGAACATATGTAGGCAAAATTTGTTTGCAGTGGAAGCTTGCAGCCAAGGTCAGCTGAGCCCCAGTGACATGCGAACCTGTGGGCTAGACAGAGGGTGGGACGGTTGCATTGCGTCCCTGCTGTCCCTGCGGCTGGCTGATGCACTCAGTACTTACTACCTGAGTGCTCAGAGGCTACAGTCCCGGATCTGATGCTGCCCTGGGCACCCGCCTCCTGCCCCTCTCCCTGGGACCTGGAGCGGGAATGAGCCGAGTCCCACTGGCTCCTCGTGAGCTGGGTGAGCCTGACCGGATGGATCCAAGCCCTTGGCTCAGTTTAGAGACCAAACGGTGACAAAAACAGCCACGAAAGAGATCTGGGCACCATGCCAAGCAGAGCCTGTGCTTATCCACTGCACTGTGTTCCCAGGAGTGGCAGAACCACCCTGGCCCCCTCCCTCTCTCCAGGGGCAGGTAGAGAGCTCTTCTTGGTGAGTCCTTCCAACCTACACAGGCACCACCACCTGCAGTGGCCGTTGGCCTCAAGGTCCCTCTTACGTTTTGCTCCTCTCTGTTCTCTTCCTCAAGTGGAAACTGTCTTTTTTTTTTTTTTTTAGGGAGCTATAAAAAACAATATATATGCATGCTCATGGCAAGAACTCAGACGGGGTCTTTAAGGAGCCCTAGAAGCTGGCTTTGGACCCCTCCAGCCTGAGGACAGGCATTTGACCTTCATTTGATGCTGCCATGGTATGTCCTTGACCCCTGATGGTGCAGGCTGCTGCCTTTAGCCTGACATGTGATCTCAGGTTGGAGGGGAGCCCAGCTCCCATCGCAGACTCTGAGAAAGACACTGCTCCTCCCGAGCCAGCTTGCAGGCTGTGTGCTGCGCCCGCCCGTTCCTCCTGCTGGCCAGAGGGGCCTGGGGTCTTGCTCCACACTCTTGTAGGGTCAGGGTGTACAAGTGGAGTACCTGGGGGAGGGGGCTGCGTGTGGACGCAGTGTGCCCTGCAACTCCTGGTAACACCTGGGACCTGTTCTTGTGGTGGTGGGATGCTTTCTCAGAGACCTGGAGACTTTCCTTAAGCAGAAAACCCTATAACTTGCTAAATATTTGGGCTCTATGAACTGAGTGAAGGATGGCATGTAGCCTGCTACTTAAGTATGTGGTACTAGAACTCAGCTGACCTGCTGGTTTGAACCCCATCTGTACCACTTGCCAGCTGTGTGACCTGGGGCCAGTGATTTAATTTTCCTGTGCCTAGACTGTTCCACCTGCCAGGTATCATAATATTTGTCCCACCTGGTTGCTGAGAAGATCAAGTGCGGTAATACACATAAATGACAGCAGCACTGAAGGTTAGTTGTAAGGCTGAATAAAACCCAGGCAAGTGTCAAGGAAGAAGAGCCATCCCAGTCCCTGCAGTTCCTGCTCTCCTCAAGAGCCGTCTAAAGACAGGGGTGTGTGCTTGAGACTACCTGGAAGCTGGCTTGGAAGACTGGAAGAACCTGCAGGCCAAAGAGAGCCAGTGACCTCTAGAAACCTAAGGCACCCGGGACTCCTCCTCAAGGAGCCCCAACGCTAGCCCTCACAGCTCCGCGGCCCCTTGACTTTGGCCAGTGACACCCACATCCTACTTATAACCTTCAAAACTCTAAGATGATACATGCATGTCGCCTTGAGGCACTCAGCAGCTGGAGGGAACACAACGCTCACAGCTGGGCCAGGAGGCACCAGGTTCAGGGAGGCTACAGGCCAGGGTGGGCAGCAGGGCTGGAACCCAGGCTGTCGGGGCGTCCTGGTTCCTGAGCTGGAGCAGCTGGAGTGGCCGCGGTTCTGCGGTCCTGGCAGGTTTCTCATCCTCCTCATCTCCTGGGAGCCCAGGAGCCCTCCGGAGGCTGCCGAGGGCCCCACCGCACACCCACCTGCGGAGGCCGGAGTCGCTCCTAGGCCGGCTGCAGCTCGTCCTCCAGCTTCTTCTTCCTAACTCCTTCGGTGAAAGAGAAGTCCATGCGGATGAGGGTCCTCCCCAGGGGCGTGTCCACCCTGCTGCCCACAACCTGGTTTGTGGAATTGGGGAGTGTGTCCGAGAAGAGGGGCACGGAGTCCGGCAGCTTCTCAGGCTCCTTCCTATTGCCCTGAGGAGGGGGGACAGGGCGGGTCACGCGCTCTTGTGGGAAAAGGAGGGACCTGGCTGCTCAGGGCACCCTCAGGAGGGGAGAGGACAGCGGTCAGGTGGCTTGCCAGGTAAGTATGTGGTACTAGAACTGGACTAAGCCGCTGGTCTGAGCCCCATCTTTACCACTCGGTAGGAGCAACTCCAGCCTCCGCAGGTGGGTGTGATGTGTTTCTGTCCCTGTCTGGACACAAGACTCCCACCAAGACTGCAGCTGTGGCAGGTCTGCCCCTCAGCATCCTGGGCACCCTCAGGCCTCCCAGGCCTCCTGACTCCCACCTGGACACAAGACTCCCACCAAGACAGCAGCTGTGGCAGGTCTGCCCCTCAGCATCCTGGGCACCCTCAGGCCTCCCATGCCTCGTGTGCCCTTGGCTGGGCACACGCATGTTATACATCTTGGACCAGCAGAAGGGTCTCATCAGCAAATGCCTGCCGTTTCCATTGACTCACTTTAATAAAACCAGCAAGTACGAGGGGGACAGTTCTGAATGTTCTGTATAAATATTTTCTTTTCCCTGTGTTTCCTACAACTATTTTATTCCTCATTCCAGTACCAAGCACAAAGTAGATCCTTGATAAATGTTAGATGAATGTAGGGGAAAAGTTAATAAATTTTCACACTAACAGTGTGTTTCACAGGAACGTGTTTTGCCTTACCATCGGGTCATAGTCTTTCAGGAAACTCCAGTTCTCAGCCCTGGAAAGGAAGAACACGTGGGCAGCATGAATTCTTTCTGAGACTTTTTTTTTTTTTTCTGAGACATTTTTAAGACTGACTTTCACTATGTTAAGTAAACCATTCCATGTCACTATGTATTACATCACCAAAAATTCAAATAATTTTCCCTTTTTTTTTTTTTTTTCTTTTTTGGCACTGGGGATTGAACCCGAGGTGCTTTACTAACCACTGAGCTATATCTCTAGCCTTTTCTATTTTATTTTTTTAATTTTAAGACAGTGTCTCCTTTAGTTGTTGAGGGTCTCGCTAAGTTTCTGAGGCTGGCCTCAAACTTGCGATCCTGCTGCCTCAGCTTCCCCAGTCTGGGACTGCAGGCATGTGCCACAGGGCACATATATGTATTAGGCGGGGCCCTGATAGAAACCAGACCCAGGGTGCTTAACCACTGGGCAACATCCCCAGCCCTTTTTATTTTTATTTTGAGATGGGGCCTCATTAAGTTGCTGAGGTTGGCTTTGAACTTGCCGTTCTCCTGCCTTAGCCTCCCAGGCTGCTGGGATGGTAGTCATGCACCACCAAGCCCCGTTCTAAAATAATTTTTAACTGGAACAAATGCCAAGTGCCAACCAGGTATTTATGGTGCATTCTATAAAGTGAACACACATTTTCATGACTGATGACTTCCAGAGTGGTAACTCTGTTGCTAAGGAAACCGATGGCTGCAATTTTACCACATCTCTGCGTTTTCAGAAGGCCACATCAGGGGACCTCAAGTATTCTGTGCAGGAAAGCCAATTTCCACACTCCGAGCCTTGGGAACCTTGCAGGGTGTGTGCAGAGAAGGTGGGGGTAGGAGAAGGGCATGGCAGGCCCTTGTAGTCGGATTTTTATTGGAATCTACTTTTCTATAGTCAAATAACGTGACAAGACATAATAAATACAGCTTTCTCTGCACCTAGCCTCACAGCTCCTGAGCCCATGTCCTAGAGTCAAATTGTCCCTAGCCTTTTAGCTATTTCTTCAGCCTTCTGCCTTCATATTTTGAAACCCTATGCTAACCTTTGCTTGATTTTAAAAAATTATACTTTCTTTTGACTTCCTCTTATAGGAGACGATGAGTCGGCATTCTGACCTGCCTCCCCTCCTGCCATCCTTCCAAACTAGTTGTAGGTCTTGGTTAGCTTGATATTTATTATTTATGTGGGATGGTCATAGGAATGCTGTTCCTTGGGCCGGGGTGTGGTTTAGTGGAGCCCCTGCCTAGCATGCTCACAGCTCTGGGCTTAATCTCCAGCAATGGAAAAATAAATCAAAAATACTATTCACTGATGAACTTAGGAGCAGAATATGGTCTCTGTTCCTTTCTTATGCAACTTGGTCTTTTTTTCTAGGTCTAATAATTACATTTGCTTCCAATTTTCTAGGTGTCTATGATCATTGATTCCAAATGCTCCAATAAAATCCTAAAGCTGCTCTTAAGAGTGTCCACACAGTCAGTATCCTCAGGTGGCGCACAACTCCTCTAACAGTGTCTCCTGCAGAGACCTCCTGTGGAGCCCAGTCCTCCGGCTTGGGACTATCCAAGACCACTTGGGACTGCAAGACCACGTGGCTGGTCCCTCTCTTCACCCCCTGCCCTGGGGCCTCTCTCTTTGGGAACCCAAATCTGTTTTTGAGGAACACATCCATCATCATTTGTGGAGTCGTGTTTCTTTGGTTCTGGAAAATTCCCACACATTTGCTCTTCAAATGTTTCATTTCGGCTTGTGGATCTCCGGCATCTCGTTCAGTTTCCCTCTTGTTTTCCTGAGTGATTTATATGAGTCTATCTTGAGTTCGTGAATTCTCACTTCAGTTTGTTTTACTTTTCAGTTTTTTTTCTTTTTTTTCTTTTTAGTTTTAGATGGACACAATACCTTTATTTTTATTTATCCATTTTTTTAATGTGGTGCTGAGGCTCGAACCCAGTGCCTCACATGTACAAGGCAAGCGCTCCACCACTGAGCCTCAACCCCAGCCCCACTTTTCAGTTTTATATGTTTTTATTTCTAGAAGTTCTACTTGACTTTTCCAGGCTGTCTGGCTGTGCCCGGCGCAGACCCTGACCCACACCTCCTGTTCTTAGCCCGTCCCCTGAGATACTCCTGTGCCCTCCTGGGCGCTCTGTGTCCCTTTCTGCTGCCCCTGACTCTGCCACTGTCTGACATCCCCATCCCCCCCCTTAGCTGCTCAAGGAAGGGCTCCTTCCGTCATTTGGGCTCTCAGAGCCATGCTGACCCCTAGGGAGAGCCAGGGAGGGCCGAGGAAAGGTGCCAAGTCCTCATGCTCGTCCAGCTGCCTCCTAGGAGTCTGTCTCCCCCCTGGTGAGGTGGGATGGGGTTGGCTCGCTGACACCTGGAAGGTGGCAGGTCCTCGTGAGGGTGCTCTTGGCGTAAGTACAAACTGGATTTCAGACTTGGCACGAAGGGGATATAAAATGTCTCTTCAATGACTTTATAGACTGGCCTCCTGTAGACATGGTAATAAATTGGATATTTAGGGTTTAGTTTATTATTAAAATGGTCCTGTTACATTTTTAAAGATGGCTACCAGAAATTTACAATTGTGTATGTGGCTTTTATTATATTTCTGCTGGCCTCCTGGTCTCTGTGCCTCCTGGCCTCCTGGCTTTCTCCTCTGGCTTCTCAGTCCCCTGGTGATTTCTGGGATCTCAGGGAAGGTCTGCAGGACTGTCCTGGGTTCTCTCTTTTGGATGCTCTGCGTTCTTCAGGGGAAGCCTGTTCTCGTCGCTGGTGTCAACATTGGCCTTTTCCTTTTAAAAACCGATATTGAACTCACGTATCACAAGATTCACCCTTTTAAAATGTACACCCCAGTGGTTTTTTGGTATGTTCATAAAGTCCACGGCCATGGCCACTGTTGAGTCCAGAGCATTCTCACCACCCTAAAGAGAAAGCCCATCTCCGTTAGCAGTCACTGCTCTCTCCCCTCCCTCAGCTCCCGGGACCCAGGAGCCCTCGTCCTCCCCGAGGTCTTCAGTGTCTGGAAGCACACATGCCACTGCCCTGGGGAACTCCACTTGTCAGTGACCCAGGCACTAAGAACTCATCGGAGCTCTGTCATGGACCTGCTCCTCTCTGTCAGTTTTTCAGCTCCAGTGTCTAGGCTGGGATGTCCCTCCTCCGTCACTCCTTCCCGCCCCTCTTCCTGCTTGGTGCGCCAATCTTCTGGGCCATTCTGCAGGAGGCCTTTCCACCTCCCTGTTTCCTTTGTAGTGCACAATAGATTTGGACCCTTTTCTTGGATGGTCTCCAAAATCAACTCAAAGCCATAGGAGAAAGTTTCATGCCACTGGTCTTGGCAATGACTTCATGGATAGGATATCAAAACTATAGGTAACAAGGGCAAAAGTAGACACGAGGGGTTATGTCAAACTGAGAGCACTTCTGAGCAGCAAAGCACACAATCAACATGAAAGAGCAATGTCTGGAAGGGGAGAAAATACTTGCAAAACACCTATCTGATAAGGGGTTAACTTCCAAAATCATGGCAAACTCCCACAGCTGAATAGCATAAAGCAAAATAATCCAATTGAAAACTAGGCTCGAGATTTGAATAGCTACTTTTCCCAAGCAGACATGCAGATGTCATCAGGCCTGTGAAAAGATGCTCAAAGCCACTCATCATCAAGGTAATGCAAAGCCAAGCCACAATGAGACCCTCTCACCCAGTTAGGAGGATGGCTGTTATCAGAACACAACAGATACCAACAAGTGTTGGCAAGGTCGTGGAGAAATTGGAAACCTTGTGCACTGTTGGGGGAAATGCAAAATAGTGCAGCTGCTGTGGAAAACAGCATGGATGGCTCTCAAAACATTATAAATGGAACCACCATATGGTCCAGCAATCCTGCCTCAGATATTTATCTGAAAAAAAATTGAAGTTTGGATCTTGAAGAGAGATAGGCACTCCCATGTTCATTGCAGCATGGTTTACCATTGCCAACATGTGGGGAGCGAACCTAAATATCTATGGGCAAATTGATGGGTAAACAAAACTGTGGTCTACCCGTGAAACAGAAGCCAGCCTCAGCAATAGGGAGGCGCTAAGCAACTCAGTGAGACCCCGTCTCTAAATAAAATACAAAATAGGGCTGGGGTTGAGGCTCAGTGGTCAGGTGCCCCTGAGTTCAATCCCTGGTTCCCTCTCCCCATAAATAAACAAATAAATATTATTCAGCTTTTAAAAAAAAGAAAACTCGACTATATGCTGTGTCACGGATGAACGTGGAGGACATCAGACTAAGTGAAGTAAGCCAGAGGCGGAAAAGCACAAGTAGGGGCGATGTTTGCATACTGCATGGCCACACTGATATCAGAGGCACTTAAAAAGTCAGAAGGTGGGGAAGGGGAAGCAGGCAGTGCTAAGGAACAGGTGTAAAGTTTCAGTTTTGCGACAAGGAGAGATTCTAGAGCTCTCTTTAACTCGTCATTTAGTAATGTAAACTAGAACGGGTGTGCGGCACATTCTTCCGCAATCCCGGTGACACGGGAGGCTGAACAAGGAGGATCTCAATTTCAAGGCTAGCCTCCGCAGCTTAGCAAGACCCTGTCTCCCAAAGGGTTGGGGATGACTGAGCCACAACCTCAGCCCCTGCTGTTTTTTCTTAAATGCCTGGAGTTCATCCTGGGCCCCTCCTCACGCCTTCGCCTGCCGGTCACCTCTCGGGAGAGGTCTCCGTGAGCTCACTCCCCCGCAGCCATCCCCTCCGAGGACCACGTGGAAACTGTACCGATCTCCCGGCGTGTCTTTGGCTGTCCTGGGAATGCGCCCCCGGGGTGGCGGCCGAGGCGGGGGGCTGCGCCGAGCTCGGGGGTCTCCACGGAGTGAGCGCGGGAGGCGGCCTGTGCCGGGCACAGCGCAGCGCAGCTCCAGCCCCAACCCGGCTTCCCCTCGGCCTCGCCCGGCCTCCTCTGCGGGATCCAGCCCCAGGGCAGTTCTGGGGGACTGGGGACCTCGCGCCTCCAGGGGCTGCCGGGACCCGAGGGCTGGCGGGCCTCCCTCCTCCCGCAACCTCCTCTGCTCTTTGGCCCGGCCTCTCTCGCCCCCGCCGCCCCGATCCCTTTCCCCCCGGCCTCCCTTCTCGGACCTCCCGGACGTCGGCTGCAGGCGTCGGGGAGGAGGCCGAGCCGACACTCACCAGCGCCGCCGGCCGCGCCCCTCGGCCTCCACCAGCTCCCGCCACAGCTGGTCCCGCTGCACGCCCTGGGCCTCCCGCGGGGCCTGGCCGCCACCAGCGGGACCCCTGCCGGCCGCAGGGCCACCTCGGGCAGCCGGGGAGACTGAGGCCGGCCGCCCGGTGGTGGGCAGTCGGTAGCCCGCGGATGTGGTTCTCTGGAGCCCGGGGGTGGGGCGGGTCCCCATGGGCGCGCTGCCGGAGGTCCTTCCTCCCGTTCAGTCCTGGAGGGCTTGACAGGGGTCCTCCTCCGTCCCCGTGCGCCCCGAGCTCAGAGTGGCCGAGGAGAGCCCAAGCCTCCAGGCTGGGAAACGTCTTAGCCCCGGGGCGTGGGGAGCTCCTGCCTGTGTTGACTGTCGCCCTGGGAACCGCAGCTCCCAGGGCGCCCAGGAAGGGGCGGACCCGGGCGCGTGTGACCGCATGGTGTGGGACACCTGAGCCCTGGTGGGGGGCAGAGTTCCTGAGCCTGCGTGATGCCCAGTTTAGCAGCCGCCACCCCCGCCCCAGGGCAGGAGGTGTCGCCACTGTGGGGAAGAGGCGGCCGAGTCCAGCCTCCGGGGATCCCAGCAGCCGGGGAGCAGGGGATCGCCCGAGGCCCTGAAGGTGAAAAGTGCCAATAGCCGGGTTCTGCCCTCTGGTGGTCGCCGCAGGCTCGCGGGAGGGGTGGGTCGGATACTGCTGCTGGGCTTTTGCTTCCTGTTCGGGAATACGGAAGGGGTTCTGAGTGCGGGCCAGCCGCGGGGACTGCGTGATGAGGATGCCTTGTTAGTAGCTGCTCCTTCTGGGAACCCGGAGAGTTGAGAGCGTCACCCTTTATCTTGCTGAGCCTCCCAACCATCCAAGGCAGGCGCCTCCAACCCCATTCTACAGATAAGCAATCTGAGGTCCTTACCCACAAGACTAGCAAGACTCTCCAAGGTCAACAGTTACCACCTGAAAGGCTGGACCTTGAGATTAGATTTTAGGAAGGAAACCATGAGAACTCAAGGCGGGCATTTGTGGTTCTGGACTGTTTCTGCCCTGACCTGGTTCAGGTGTCCTCTCTTGGTGGCTCCCGGGGCCTCTCCTGGTCTGCCTCAGCCGACCTTCTCAGGCACCCCCATCACTTCTGCCCAGCCCTCCGGTGCCTGGGCTTCTCTGGGCTTTGTGCCATTCCCTCTTCTCTTTGGCAGACTCCTAGTTCCTCCCCTGAGACTTCTTGTGGCTGATGCAGCTGGGCCTGCTGCTCCCTTCTGTCCAGCTGGGCAGGAGACACACAGAAGCTAAGGGCAAAACTGTGCCAAGTGGAGGCCTGCACAGGTGCCCAGGGGTGCAGAGGCCAAAGATCTGGCCTTCTCAGGTGAAAAAGATTTACCTGGTGAAAAAATCCAGGAGCGTGTAAAAGCTCAGATGTAGGAGAGCTGGATATTTTGAGAGAAGTGGGGAGGAGGCAAGGCCTGAGGCTGGTGTGTGTATGTGTGTGTGTGTGTGTGTGGGGGTCGGTCTAGGGCTATTTTGGACGTATCCTGCATCCTGAGAGAGCTTCAGGGCATAGAACATTAGGAAAAGGCCAAAACCCAGGTGAGGTTAGCATGCCCTGGTCTGGGTGGAGGAGACAGGGAAGAGCTGGCAGGAAGCAGGAAGAACCCTGGCTTCCTCATTTTGCGTGAGGAACGGCTGAGTGGCTGGCACTTCTGACCTTCTGAGCAACCCCATCCGAAGGCAGAGGTGTGGGCTGCGACTCTCCATCTCTCCTCCTCTGTAGCTGGGGGAAGGCCTGCCTGTATTTAGCTACTCTTAAACTTGATGGAAGACTGGTTAAATTGCAATACCATTACTTACAAAGATGTTCTCGATATGATATTAAACAAAACAAATATTGGATGAAAGGATAACAACAAAACAAATAAAAAGCCAGTGCACGTGTTATGATTTTGTTTTCGTTATTGTATTTCTGTGTTGGATTCACAGGAAAAAGACCGATAGGATGAACTTCCTCGTTTCCAGAAGATATCTTTAGGGAGCAGAGTTATAGGGAGCTTTCACTTTCTGCTTTATAGTTTTGTGGTATTTGAATATTTTTCCATAGCATATCCTATTTAATAATTTAAAGAGATGTTCTGCATATAAATGCCTTCCTTTCTAATATAGTACTCTAATCAGGTTAACAATTTTATTTTCTTTCTTTCAGTACTGGAGATGGAACCCAGGGCCTCATGCATACCAGGCAAACACTCTACCACTGAGCTACCCTAGGTCCCCCATCCCAGCTTAACAAAAAAAAAACCCAAAAAAACAAAAAAAATTTTTTTTCTTCTTGGTACCAGGGATGAAACCCAGGGGCACTTTACCATTAAACCATGTCCCAGCCCTTTTTGTTTTTTAGTTTGGAACAAGATATCACTAAGTTGCTTAGGGCCTCACTAAGTTGCTGAGGCTGGCTTTGAACTTTCAGTCCTCCTGCCTCAGCCTCCTGAGTTCTGGGATTACATGCGTGGGCCACTGCACCTGGTTTGTCAGATTTTTATCAAATTTTTATTTGCTCACTTTATCACCCAACTTTCCTCATTCTTAAGATGATGCATTGACAATATATCTTTTTTTTTATTAGTGCATTATAACTATACATGATAGTGGGATTCATAATGCCCTATTAGTACATGCACATGACAAAATTGATCCGTCTCATTTCCAGCACCCCCCTTTCTCTCCCCATTGCCCTCTCCTGACCTGCACTCCACGCTGCTGGTTTCCCTTCTTTCATTGTGATTTTAATGGATGCTCTATACAGAGAGGATTGTGGTGGCTCCTCCCGTGCAGGTAGAGCTTGGTTCGGCAGATTCCCTTTCCCGGGCCTCCCTACCCTCTCCCTTCCTCTCTTCTGCTTATTGGCCTTCTTCATGGATCCACCCCTCTCCTCCTTTTGGCTATAATGACTTTTTAAAAACTCTTAAATGCCTTTAAGAGAATCATGGGAGCCTCTAAGGATGGTCTTCAGGGGCAGGGGAGAGAGCACTGTATTGGGAGTCTAGAGAACTGGGCTTCGGTCTAGGTTCCGACCGGCCTGCTGGGCCCACTGGTTAGGATTATTCAGAAGCAGACATAGCTAATGAAGTCTCTTGGGTCGTGTGTTAGTTTGCTGCTGTAACAAAAGGCCACACATGGGGTGGTCTGAACAACAGTAGTCCCTCATGGCACAGCCGGGAGGACAGAGGTCTGAAGTTAAGGTGTCATGGAGTCCCTTCCTTCCAAGGCTGAGGGAGAATCTGTGCCAGGCCTCTCCCTTGCTCTAGGTGGTGTCCTTGCCATCTGTGGCATTCTTTGGCTTGTGGAGGTGACACTCTGACCTCTGTCCTCATGTCAACATGGTGTCCTGAGTATGTGGGTCTGTCCAAATTCCCCCTTCTTATAGGATTAGAAGGATCACAGCCACCCTACTCCAGTGTGACCTCATCCTAATAACGCTGCAATGTTCCTGTTTTCCAACAAGGTCACATTCTGGGATGCTGGGGGCCTCACTATATGAATTTGGGGGACACAGTTCAATCCAGAACAGACTATAGGGATTCAGACTCCTTCCAGGATGTATGATGGATAAACCGTCTTGCACTCAGTCCCCACTGTGTGCCAGGAACACATGATGTTCCCTTCAATCCTGGTCATCTCCTAGGAACAGCATCAGCTGCATTTTATGGATGAGAAAATGAACAAAAACTTCAAGGGATCAAGTGACTTGTCCAAGGACACAGGCATGAGTGGAGGGCCTGGCAGAGGAAGCCACTCCCGCTGGACTGGAGAGCCAGTGCTTTGTTCCGGTCTGGGGCAGGCACAGCTAACGAACACCACACTACTCCCAAGTCCCCAGGTGCTTCCTTGATAAATTCCAGCAATTAGACACATGGCATTTGCAATCCAATCGAGCCTCTGGGATGTGATTTTAAAACTCCCAGATAGATAATTACATTAAAAATAGCAGTCAAATGGCACGCTCACTGGCATTCCTCACTGAAGTGTGGTGGCCGTCACATGAGCTGGAGCTGGTCACATGTGGACGTAGGGACAGAAAGACCTGGCCCCACCGCACAGCAAGGAGCACCCTGCCAGGGCTGGGGACCAGGGCCTCTACATGCTAGGCAAGCGCTGTACCATGGAGCTACATCCCCAGACTTTCAAATTTTTTTTTTTTAGACATGGTCTTGCTAAATTGCTGAGGCTGGCCTCGAATTTGTGATCCTCCTGCTTAAGTCTCCTGAGTAGCTGGAATTACAGTCATGTGCCACCCCGTCTGGCTCTTAACATTTATTTTTTTCCAGGGGAAAAGCATCCCACATAAACAGCTTTACTTTAGCTGTTTATATAAAAAATATAAACTCAATGGTTTATCTTTGGAAGACTAGATTCTTGGCGCTTGTGGAAATGTTAAACATTGAAGAAAATCTTCTGGGGCATGATCCTTATTTTCCTTATTCTGCAACTTCCTGCTGATGGGCAGCTGACTTCAAGCTGGGAGAAAAGTTTTGGGTGGATTATATTTCTGAAGATCTGAGCCCTGCTGGGATATCTGCGGGCGGTGGTGGTTGCAACCCCCACCTGGAGCAGCAGGGGGCAGCCTGTAGCTAGGAATCCTCCACCAGGCCTGCAGAATCACTATGGTTCCTCCAGCCCTCCATGGTCAACTGTGACTGTTTCTGATCCAAGACAGAAAACAAGTGTGACGACATCCAAAGAAGATGTCCATGGAGGAGGCAGCAGTGGGCTGGGGGGTCAGGTGCTCACAGAGAGCCCTCCTCAACAATGGATTCCAGCAGGGTGAACAGGTAGGCCCAGGCAGCTGCCAATCAGAAGGGACGCAGAGCCTCCTGCTGCTGAGGTGTGGGGGCCTGGGACTGGGCAGTTGATGTAAGTGCTATCCATATGCAAGCAGCCAGTGCTCCCAGGCCACCTGATGAGGGCTGTGGGTGCGCTCTCTGTGGTGGGATTGCTCATGAGGACATGAGTCTGGGGAGCGGCCTAGGCTGCTTTGCTTTTGCCCTTCCAAGCCTGCACCTGAGCCCAGGACTTGCCTTGCCCCGCTGACCTGTGCAGGGGGCCCAGCTGGCTCCCACACCTCAGCTGGGATTAGCCTAGCTCCTGGCTGAGTAGCCTGGGAGCCCTGCTTGTCCCTGGCTGCTGTGTGTGGGGTCTCCCTGGGGGTCTGACTCAAGGAGTTGGGAATCAGCCTCTGATTCTGCACTGTAGGTGTCTGATGGGAGGCTCTAATAAGGAGCTTGGGAATGGGGTTGCTGGGGAGGGGCTGGGGACACTGCCAACTAGTGACAACTAGGACATTCTGTCTCAGAGTCCACCTACAGTGCTGCCCTTTGCTGTTGGGGCAGGAGCTGACCCCTGGCCTGACCCTCAGGTGGGGCTGCAGGGACCAGGACAAGGGCTGTCAAGCAACTCGACTGGCAGGTGTTTCTGAGCCAGCAGAGACCAGGAGAGAGAGGGTTGTGGGGGTCCTGAGGGAAAGGCCAGCACTGTGGCAGAGACACCGCCATCTGGCTCCATCTGGCTCAGGAACCAGGGGCTGGGGACCAGGTGCGCATGTCCCTGACTGGCTGGCTTCTGCCGCTACATCAAGCATGCTCTCTTGCCCAGTCCCACCTGAATTCGTGCTGTCCTTCTGGTGCAGTGCTTGAGTTCCAGCTGCTGAGAGGAGTGGGCGAGCTGATCCTGCTAAGGCTCCAGGCTCAGCGTTAACCACTGGGCTGAAAGGACATGAATGAGGTCATATTGCCATAGGAGCATCACTGTCCTCGGATCCCTCCCAGCTACCCTGCCTTCTGTGTCTATAGAGGGCTACGGTGTAGACAGGGTGTCAATGACAGGGCTCCTTTGCTCCCTGTCAGGTGGGGCTGTTGTGCTGTGCCTGGCCAGTGGGCTGCATCCCTGCCACCTGTGCCTTCTCGATGGAGTCCTCCAGGGACGGGATGCTTAAGCCCGATACCTGGGGCAGCTTGCCAGGTAGCTGGGTCAGGCGGGGAACAGAGGAGGGGAACAGCATAGCAGGTAGAGGGAACAGCATGGACAAAGAAGTGAAGGTGAGGGTGGCATAATTTGCAAGTAGTGCCTGTGGCTGGAGCCCAGGTGACGGAGGAGGTGGGTGAAGATGGGAAGGAACTAGAGGCTTTGAGGGGCAAGAGGTCTCCCATGGGGCAGTGGGCAGATGGTAGAGTGGGTGTCCCTGATGGATTTGGTTGAGGTGGGCACACCTGCTTACAGCTCAGCATTCCCTGTGGGCCCTGGAGGATGGATGGGAACAGCCTGGGGCTGAGGGCCCAGCTCTTACTCCTGTAGACTGATGCCTGTGGCCTTAGTCCCTCTCTGACCCAGCAAGACCAAAGGCTGCCCCCTGCGGTGCTGGCCTGAAGGTGGTGAAGGAGCAGATTTGGTTACTTGGAGGCAGAGGGTGTGGCGTGGTGGTTGGTTGGGGCGGGTGGGGGAGACCTGGCCAGGTGGAGCGTGGAATCTGTGTCAGGCCCAGCTTCCTCCTAGCTCCTCTTCACCTAGAAGCCCCTCCTCTTTTCCTCCCTGGAGAATGGACATCCCCATCTGACCTGCCCCTGAAGGACAGGAGGAGAAGGCGGGTGCCAGGGCCACTGCTGTGCTCGTCCACAGTGGGGCTGTTCTTGGCTCCAGAACCGAGCATCAGCTCCCAGGCCTGCAGCCTGCTGAGCACGGACCTGGGCCTCTCAGCCTGGGACAGTGTGCGGCTGCCCCTCTGTCTCCCTCTTTCTCTGCGTTCTGTGTGCTGGGGCTGGAGCCCAAGGCTGTGGCTCGCGAGGCATGCACTTTGCCACTGAGCTACACTCCAGCCCCCTCTATCCATACGCATCCCATTGGTTCTGTTTCTCTGGAAAACCTTGGCAAGGAACGTGGGGTTCCTGTAATGACCTCACCCCCGAGGAACGGCCAGGTCAGGTGGTGGAGGGGCTCTGTGTGGCCTTGACCTCCTGAGCGCTCAGGTCCTGGGCTCTGGATTCCCAGCAGGTCTGGGTCGGTGCTCCCCCGCTGCCATCTCCCAGAGGAGTGCCCGAGCCCGGCTTCTGAAGGAAGAGGAGCGTCTGCCCCAGGGCCACGGAGAACACCGCACCTCTGAGGGTGAGGGCTGGCAAGTGGAGAGGGAGGAAGAACTCGGGGTCCCCATGCTTGGTTTTCAGAGGTGTGAGGTGAGGTTCTGGCAGGAGGGGTCCACGCTCTCAAGTGTGGTGTGGGGGCGGTGGGGCAGGACGCAGCCCTGGCTCCCAGCGGCTTGGCAGGGCCAGGTCCTCTGAGGTCTCATGCTGACATGAAGGCACTGGCGATGCATGCTGCGTCTCGTCCTCTTCACGTAACCCACGAGGACACACTGCTGTGCCCCAGTCGATCAGTGAAGAAAAGAGGCTCAGCCAGAGTGATTTGCCCGAGATCTCCAGGCTGGTGGGTGTGCCGACTGGACTCCTTGTTCGGGGGTCTGAGGCCACATTCCTGCTCCTGTTCCTTACTTCCTGAGGGGAACTCTCTTCCCTAATCAGAGGAGGCGGGAGGCCTGTTAAAGGAAAATGTCTGACAATGATTTCAAGGAGGAAATGATGGTGGGAACAAGGATTTGCCAAACTGGGTGGAAAAATATTTTGTGTGCTGATGGAACGTTCAGGATTCCTGGCTCGTTAGTACGCCAGTGTTAATCTTGTCTTCATCACTTCGAAGGCCAATAGCAGCCTCCTAAGATATATTGATTCTATAAACTGGAGAGGAACCTGTCAATCAGGAGGGGGCCCCTGGGGGTCTCCACACACAGTCCAGGGAAGATGTTTGCTCCAGAATTCTCCACCCCAGTCCACGGGCTTGAATTATGAGCCCTGCTCTTGTTAGAGCCATTCTGCCCATTGGGAACGAGAATGGGTTTGCACTTAGAGCTCCTGTAAGTTCTCCCGGGCCCTGGAGTGGGACACCTCTTGCATTGTGCATGAGGGCTGAAATTCACTTAGTGACTCTGTGCAGAAAGGTGGTAAGACGTGGTGATGCAGAGCCAGCACTTAGAGGGAGCCCCGGGTGACAGGCTCCTTCCCCCACGGGCTCTAGAGCGTTCCTAGTGCGCACTGGCCCAGGGCAGTGCTGGTGGCTGGGGCGGTGTGTGCACACCCTCCTTTAGGGCTTCACTCTTTAAGTTTCAGTCCAGCCCTGGTAAGGTGGGAGGGTGACAGCCCCCCAGGGTTATGGCAAAATGAACCCCCATCCAGGGTTCAGTTCCTGTGAGGCGCAGGCCTCCGGTCGGCACCGTGCTGACTGGCACCATGCCAATGCTGTTGAAGCCCACAGATAGTGAGTGACCCCAGGACTGTGGTCCCCTGTGTTGGGTGACTTGGTGCTGTCACAAGGCAGGTATCTGCTGGGGAGCTGTGGGCAGCTTGGACGGGGCTGGTCTCAGCAGGGAGTGCTGGTCATTCTGCAGCTGCGGGGTGGTCCTGCCAGGCGGCTTTGTTCTTCCGGCTTCATCTGCGCTCCATCGGAACCCTGTTTATCCCAGTTGGCCTGCAGCGTGACTAATTGTCTTGTTCTCAGCTATTATGCCCATCTGTACAGATCTTCGCCATCAGAGCCTTGGGTCTCATTTATTATTACTACTTTAAATGCATATTATGGTGGCAAGAGAATTTGACATGAGTCCCGCCCTTTCCAGAAACTTCAGTGTGCAAGATTGTGCTGTCCCCGCAGGCCTGAGGGAGCCCCGCAGCCCCGGTTCCTCTTGCATAACTGAAATTTCAGGCCTGTTGAGTAGCAGCTCCCACCCCCCTCCGCCAACCACTTGCTCTGCTTCTCAGCTTCACTGTTTTAGACGCTGACTCCGATGCTGGCTGTCTCCGCTCACCTACATCCTGTCCTCCAGGTGCCCATCCCAGGCTAGCACAAACAGGATTCTCCTTCTTCTCTCCTCTCCCTCCTCTTCCTCTCCCTCCTCTCCCTCCCACTTTTCCCTCTCCCCTCCCTCTTCCTTCCCCCTCATTCTTTTCCTTCTTCTTTCTCTCCCTTCTCTTCTTCCTCTTCCCCTTCCCTCCCTCTCCCCTCCTTCTCCTTCTTCCTTTAAAAAAAAAAGGCTGAGTAAGGTTGTGTTGTGTGTAACACCACGTTTTCTTCATCTATTTATCCACCAGTGGATTCTTAGATTGCTTTCATGTCTTGGCTCTTGTGAATAGTGCTGCAATGAACATAGGATCCTGATTTCAATTCTTTTGGATAAATAAGTGGTGTTGGTAGTTCTATTATAACTCTTTTGAGAAACCTCCATAATGTTTTCTTTTGCTACTGAACCCAGGGTGCTTTACCACTGAGTTACATCTTAGCCCTTTTTATTTTTTATTTTGAGACAGGGTCTCACTAAGTTGCTGAGCCTTGCTAAGTTGCTGAGGCTGGCCTTGAACTTGTGAGGCTCCTGTCTCAGTCTCCCAAGTCACTGGGATTACAGGTGTGCGCCACGTCACCTGGCAATCCACACTCTTTTCAGTAATGGCTGCATCATTCCTATCACCAGCATACAGTTCAGATATTGCCACATCCTTGCTCTCATTTACCTTTTGCTTTATTTTTTTTGGTAGTAACCCAGGGGTGCTTTGCCATTGAGCCTCATCCCCAGCTCTTTTTATTCCTTTTTTTAAATTGTAGATGGACACAATATCTTTATTTTTGTTTGTGCTTTTATGTGGTGCTGAGAATCGAACCCAGGGCCTCATGCATTCGAGGCAAGCGCTCTACTACTGAGCCACAACCCCAGCCTTTTTTTATTCTTTATCTTGAGACAGGCTCTTGCTAAGTTGCTTAGGACCTTGATAAATTGCTGAGGCTGCTATGAACTTGCTCCTCCTGCCTCAGCCTTATTTATTATTATTACTGTTATTTTTTTAATAATAACCCTCTTAGCAGGTGTGAGTTTATGTATCTTGTTGTGACTTTGATTTGCATTTCCCTGATGATTAGTGTTGCTAAGCATCTTTTCATATACCTATTGGCTATTTGTATATCTTCTCTGGAGAAATATCTATTCAGATCCTTTGCCTATTTTTAAATAATGTTATTTGCCTCTTTTCTATTGAGTTGCAGGAGTTCCTGATATACTGGGGTGTTAATCCTTTATCAAATATATAGTTTGCAAATATTTTTTTCCCATTCATTAGATTACCCTTTTCAATCTGTTTCCTTGCTCTGTAGGGACATTTTATTTTTCTTTTTAAAAAATATTTTAGATGTACATGGACATGATATCTTTATTTTTTATTTTTTAATGTGGTACTGAGAATCAAACCCAGTGCTTCACATGTGCTAGGCAAGTGCTCTACCACTAAGCCACAACCCCAGCCCCTGTAGGAGCATTTTACATTCAAAAGAGTTAGGCGGGAGGCTGAGGCAGGAAGACCGGGAGTTCAAAGCTAGTCTCAGCAACCTGAGCAACTTAGCAAGACCCTGTTTCAAAACAAAAAAAACCCAGAGTTTGGGAACGTGGCTCAGTGGTTAAGCTCCCCTGGATTCAATCTCCAGTACCAAAACAAAGGAATGAAGTTGGAGCCTGTTAGGAGCCGAGCTGTTCATGGGTGGCATGTGGGTCACCGTGCACGGAAGCCTTGTGGGTAGAGACATCTAGTGTCTGGGAATGACCAGGGGACATTTCCTCTGGTCAATTGCCCAGGGACAGTGTGAATCTCTTTCCCGCTCTGCCATGGCCCATACAGTAACTGAGATGGGTGTGACCTGCCAAGATGTCACTCCACCTGCTGACTGCCAGACATCAGGAAGCAAGACTCGGCCTCTGAAACCTTACCCCTGCCTTTGATGTACCCCCTTAAATAAACCACCGAAGCCGTTTTCTCTTTGTCTAGTTCCAGAACCCGTGTTCTTCGCATTATGTAAATATATTTCTGAGTGTCTGTGTTTTGTTACTTATTAATCGTCTGAGATTGTGACTTTTAGGGGGCTTGGATTCACCTGGGCAGAAAGAACCCTGCGAGGAGGCCCCGTTGTCCCCTTGAAAGGCAGCTTTGTCTATACCACAGACAGAGATTGACTCAAAATCATTTAAAGACTCAAATGTTTTTCCTGAAGCTATGAAACTTCCAGGAGAAGACGCAGGTGAAGAGTGACATTGATCTTGGCCATGATTTCCAGGGCCTTGACCCCAAAAGCACTCTCAGCAAAGGTGAGAATGAGCAGCGGGGTCCGTCAGGGCCTGGGAGTTCATTTAGCCAGCGCCCCGCGGTTCTCTCTCTGGGGAGAACTGAAACCAAACTCCTCACGACGCCCCTCAGCCCTGTCCTCGCCTGGGCTCTGGCCTTGCCAGGTGCCCACCTTCCGCCTGTGCTTCTCCCAGGACTTGGATCCCAGGTGGGCCCCGCTTGCCCTTCGGGCTCGTTTTAAAGCCCTCCCACAGCCAGGTCCCCACCCGGCTCTCCGATGGCCTCTGTCACTGTCCCCTCGTGGCCTTCCTCACTCTCGAGTTATTTTGCTCCCTGGCTCTTTTCTTTGCTAGAAGGAAAATTCCACAGAGGCACCTCCAGGCCCCCCTGTGACATGGCCGGTGCCGGGAGACACCTGGAGACCCGGAGGGCAGGCGGGAGGCGGCCCCCCAATCGTGGTCCCTGTTTGATCCCTGGGTCCTGAGGAGCTGGCCGGGAGCCCCAGGCCCTGCATCCCTCGGAGCCGCTGGTCCTTGGGCAGCGCCCCCAGGGCCTCACTGTCCTGCATCGCCGAGGACAGCCAGACGCTCTCCCTTTAGAAATGCTCTCTCAGGACCCTGACCCTGTCGCCGGCTGCAGTTCTGACCCCCAGAGCTGCATAGAGCAAGACCTGCCCAGGACGGCTCTCCGGCCCCCGAGGCCGTCTCTCGGATTCTGAGGGGGCAGCTCTTCTCAGGACGGGCCCCAGGATCCTGGACATTGTCCTGTGGCATGCTTTCTGGATGTCTTGCTGTCATCTCCTTATATCAGGGTCCCCAGGATCTTGGGAGGGTTCCAGGAGTCTTTGGGGTGTCCGTGAAACCCTGACATTGTGACCTTCTTGGCAGGTGTGTGGTTTGGGGGTGGGCAGAGGATCTGGAGGCTTCCTGGAGGCTCTCAAATGGGGTCCAGGCTGTGCCCCGGGGCTCTGGGCCGTCCCAGGCTGGCTTGCCTTCCACAGAGTCGCCTTCTCCTTAACAATGACC